GTTTTAAGTTGTGTACTTTTAATCAACTCATCTAATGTTCCATTCCCACTAGTCCATCCTTCAGTTAATAGCTTTGGATCACATGATTGACACCATGCCTCATTAGTATTATATCTATTGCATGCTGGACATTCCCCATTCATTTCATCTCTATAATCAGAATATTCATCATCATCATTTTTGTCAGTAGAAGTATCGTCATGATGTTTATTTTCATCCAAAGTGTTTTCCATTTTTTAAAATTATTTATAGTGTATAATTTGTCAAAAAATTTTTTCTAAAAGTACAAATATGTCTCTCATAAATAAAATAAATTTTTTTTTAGGACTTGTGTACCTGAATTTAGCATTACATAAATAAATCCGGCATGACACCCTAAACAGAGACCATAAAACCATAATGCTGTAATTATTTACAGTCTATAATATTGCAAGCGTGTGATCTGAGTTATTGGAGTCACCAAATAAAATCGCTATATACAACTATATGCTTGATTAGGGTTTATTCGAATTACTTGTTTTATTCATTATGAATTTGATAATTTAAATAAAACGAATAAACGAATAGTTCGAATAAAACAAATAATCGAAATAAAACGTATAGTTCGAATAAAATGAATAAATGAAGAAATTCGAATAGTTTGAATAAAAAAAAAAGAATAATTCAAGTAAAACAAATAAATGAATAATTTGAATAAAACGAATAATTTGAATATTTCAAACAAAATTTGAATGAACGGAATAATTCGAATATTTCAAATAAAACGAGTAAAAAGAATAGTTCGAAATAAAATGATTCAATTAAATGAGCAATTCAAGTAAAATGAATAATTTGATTAAAACGAGCAATTCAAATAAAATGAATAATTCAAACAAAACAAATAGTTCTGAATAAAATGAATAGTTCAGACAAAACAAATAAACGAATAATTCGAACAAAACTAATGATAATGAATAATTCGAACAAATGAATGATAATGAATAATTTGAATAACAAACAATTCGAATAATCATAAATGAATGATACTATAACAATTCGAATAAACGAATGATAAACAATTCTAACAAACAATTCGAATAATAATAAATGAATGATGACTATAACAATTCGAATAAACGAATGATAACAAACAATTCTAACAGCGAATAATAACAAAGAATGATGTCAATTCGAATAATAAACAAATTATGATAACAATTCGAATAATAAACGAATGACACAATTCGAATAATAAACGAATTATGATAACAATTCAAACAAAACGAATGATTTGAACAAAAATTTTATTACGAATAGAAACTCAACTCTATTGCAGAGTCACTAAATCTGACACGCAGCTAATATTGTTCAAACTAAACTAAAATCATTATATACAACTACACTACTTAAGGCGTCCTTACGAGCAATGTAGTAAAACTAATAAAAGGGTTCCTAGCTAATAATTAAATGTTGGCCAAACCATTAATCATCAGAAATGGTTATGAATCAATCAATCATGCCAGATTTATTTTTATTGATTAATTTTTTTTTCACTGAAGAAGATTTCAAGCATATTTATATTTCTTAAAGTATTACAAATAACATGACTTTTTGTCCAATAAAATAAAATAGAATGATAAATGATGACTAATTGACAATCACTAATGTTAAATGTCAAAAATACATCATTGATGATATCATGATTAGATGACAACTGACAAAATGTTTTTGTCATATTTAATTAAAAATAATAAATTTATATTTATTGAATGTCAGATGGTAATCAGCTTCAATTTGTAAATGTTAACTCAAGTGTTGATGATAATTTGTCTTCCGATTAACTTTTTGGTTTGAGGATATTATTAAATTGAAATATGGCAATGTGACTCTGGACACATTTGTATTGCACCAATTCCACTCAATTCATTAATGGCATAGAAGACTTTGATGAACCTTTATTTGAAGTCAACATACTCTTAATAGGACAGGTTTCTGGATTATTTTTTCAGAAAAATCAATTGATTAGCTGAATGAATCCTGACCTAGAGATAAATCTGTTTTTCCTTTTATTTATCAGATCAACTCACTTATTTCACTTATCAAAAAACTATGCTATTGATCCAGAATTAAAATAGCACAACAATCATGATCATCATGATTGTTATATTTGTAGTCCTACTCTAAGCCTAGAAACAACATCATCAAATCCATCATCTTTAAATACTGTTAGTTCTCAAACCCATACTAAAAAATAAATATTTTATGAGGAGGAAGTAAAAAAAGGAGCATTGCTTGAAAGTATTTCTTTAAAAGAAACCTATCGGAGTTCAAGATGCTCAAAATCTTAATTATGAATCTAACTCATTACAGCAGATTACTTTTTAATGCAATGCTTTGAATACAAAAACACAATAACTCAAATATTAGTAAACATCTGGATAAAATTGATAGATATTTAGATAAGACAATAAAATATTAATGTATTCAAATGGTGGGATACTGCAGAAATCGCGGAATGTGTATTTAAAAACCAAAACGGAAAGTACAATATTTTTTTTTTAAGATTATGACAGGCTCATGTGATTGACATATCAAGTAAATCTTTCCAAGTTATATGTTAGAGAGAGAAGCATTTTATTTTTTTCTAACTTGATGTTGCAAGTCCCTCGTTTCTGATACTTCTGAACTAATATCTTGTATCAGAATTTTGTTGCGAATAGTTAAATTTTGAATGTCATCTAAAACAACATTAGAATACCCATATTTTTGTCTTCTTCTGGTGCTTCTTGTACTGTGGCAATTATCTCATACAGACAGTCAAAGCTTAATCCTCAGATCCATATGTAATTTTTTATTTTTTTCCCATTGTAATGAAAATCCATTGTAACGAAAGCCCATTGTAAAGAGTGACAATTAATTATAAAAAAAAATTGGGAAAACATTATAACATAATTTTTACTATTGACTACTGCAACAACGAACAGCGATGTGGCAAAAACTAACCACAAATCAAAATTCTAAACAGTTTCTAATACTAAATTGGCATTAGAATGAAAAAAAATGCACCAAAAAGAATTTTAATTTATTTTTACTGATAACATTTTTAAAAAGTGACAAAATCAAAAATTTGGCCTCATTTTGTTAAACTGGGATTAATATTATTGTGTATTACGTGTAGTTAACTTCAAAAGTTAAAAATTTGAAAAAACATCAATTTAACACAACTCATATGTATGTAAAGACAATTTGATTTTATGAAATGTAATAATAAAAGAATAGTTTTAATTTGTAAAAAAGAAGAGGCATTTTTATTTTGTAAGAAAATATATGGAAAAAACAAGTAGTTTAATCAAGTAAAATTTCTCCCATGATAATTATTCCTCTTGGATCATTGCAATATACATACAATGATATAATAATTCTTTATTGATTACTATTTCGTCATTATTATTATTGCTGCTTGTGTCAAGTGTTTTTATTTGTATCAAGCGTTTTTACTTACATCAAATGATTTCAATTATGTCAAATGGTTTTACCTGTGTCAAGGGCTTTTACTTTAGTCAAATAGTCAAAATGGTTCTAGTGAGAAACTACCTTTTAGTCAATACTTTAGTTACGCCAATGACAAAGTTAAAACTTTCATCATGCATCATTAATTACCTGATAGATGACGGAGTCTACGGTGATATGTTTTGTGGGGGAAATTATAAACTTTTCATATAATTAGTAGACTTGTGTACGGTTATTAAGAATTTGATCAGAAATGACGAATCGAAAAAAATTTTGGTTCAATACACAGTGAATCTCGATTTAGCGGATAGTTTGAGCAATTAGTATTAGTATTAGAAAAAATCTTCCAAAAATCCGTTAAGCCGAGATATCCGCTATATCGAGAAGGTTTTTATTAATATTAAGGTTTATCATAGAACCGTTCTTTGAACTTTATCCATAAAACCAAGATTTTTAATTGGTTCGAGATTCACTGTGTAATAAATCAAAAATTAATATATATATATTTTGGTTTTAAGAATTAAATATCCCACTTTTTAAATGTTTTCCTCCAAAAATATGAGGCAAGTAATCTGATTTGACTTATCACATAATGATTATGCAAATAATTCACGTGTTCTATAAAGTATTTTGCCTTTATATGTAGGGAGGGACCACTGAATCCTTGCCTAAAAATCACTATATAAATTTTGACATAAAAATAGCCCGGAATCTTTTTTTCAAAAGTAAAAACTTTGAAATTTCATGGATGATTGAAAAGTTTTGTGCAATTAAAATTTATTTATTGCAAATAACAGGCAAGGCAATGGCAAAACACTTGCAATTGCAATTGCAAAGAACTCTTTTAATAAACCGTACGACTCAAAATTTGCTTAATAAGGTGAAAACATTGATCGCACCAAAAACCAAACCAAATAGACAATAACATGACAAATTTTCTTTTTTTTATGTGTTAAATATCATCTACACGAATAGTAATAATACTAATACTAATTCAGTAATTATAATTGTAAATCATCTTCATAAACCAAATTTTGATAAAAGTTCGGCCTTATCGAGATTTGACTGTAATACTATTACGAATGCAAATCTATCACCATTACATATTAACATATTAAGTATTACTACTACTCTTCCCAGGTTTTTAACAATACAACTCCCATATTTTCTATTTAGTTAAAAAATAATAATACAATTTAAATGGTTAAACATGCTTTGCTTATATATAAGAACACAAACAGGTGATATTGGTCAATTGCGTGACGCGTTTTCGCAAATATATTTTTTACTTTATTATTATTAGAAGCATAAGAGAAGGCGAAATTGGAAGCAAGCATTGGGTTTCTTTAATTCAGAGTCAATAAAACTTTTATTTGTTATGATTGGGATTCATCAAAGTGAAATTTACTAAAAAAATGATATATATCAATATAGGAGAAATTTATTTTTTTACTTTATTATCAATGCTTTATTTAGAAAAAAGATAAATTGTTTTTTTTTCTTTTTATAATTTAGTAATTACCATTGAAATCGGCATAAAACTTTTCTATATCTTCAATATCATCTTTACTGCCCAAGAAAATAGGACACCTGGAATGAATAGATTCCGGTACAAGATCAAGCGCTCGTTTTTTGCTATTTATAGCTTTTCCGCCAGCTTTGTTCGGTTAAAAAAGCCATTGGAAAACATTCATACAAGATACGAAGTTTACCATTTTTTGATTTTTTGTCAGCTGGGTATGCAAAAATTCCACCATATAACAGTATACAATAAACATCAGCAACCATTGAACCGATGTAACAAGCTGAATAAAGACTTTTACCTTCTGGTGGATATTTGATATTTGAGCGAATTGAAATATTTCTTACATGGTTCATACCAATATTTTTCATTTCCTCATTTACTGAATATATCTTTCCACAAGATGGAATTTTGATCTGTGTTAGTTGAGCAGCAACAATGAATAAGGAAATAAAACAATCACTATTTATTTATTTATTTATTTAACTGTAATAATTGGATATATGTTTGTTTAACGCTTACATTAGGATAAATTCTCCAATCGCCTAAAAAATAAAAAAACAAAATTACATGTAATCACAATAATTAATCAATCGACTAATTGTGCTTACATTAGCAAGTGTATAACCATTAACTCCATTACCAAGTGTAATGACCGGATTAGCAGAACTACCATACATACAATAACCATATCAGAACCTGGTCTAAGAACATCTGAAATACTTCCAGTAGATCCTTCATGCTAAATTAATTTTTTGATAATTAATCGTTCATCAATAAAATTACGCCAATGTCATATAGTTAGTTGATTGACTTCATAAATACCAAAAATTGTAACAACGTTTACACCAGCATCAATATTAGAAGATCCATCAAGTGGATCAAAGGCAACACAATATTTTCCACGTAATCCTTTCTCAACAATAATTGCTTGTTCGTCTTCTTCTGAAACCATCACAGCAACTTTACCAGATGAACAAAGTGCGTTAACAAAAATCTCATTGGAAATCACATCTAATTTTTTTTATTCATCGCCTGAAATATTTGTTGCGCCACCTGCAATTTCAACTTTGAATTATTTGGAAAGGGAATAGATGGGATGGGATGGGATGGGAATTAATCATTGATTTCTTTATTTCAATTTATAAATTGCATATTATTCAATTATTATTATCAATCATTATATTTATTACTCACAAGTTTAAAAAGTCTAACTTTTCTAACGTTAGTAGCTACAAATTTACAACTAGTTGAATTGCATTAACAGGGTGGTCAAATCACCACTTGCTTCTTTATATTTACGTTGCTCATCAAAGAACATGTCTTGTCAATGTGAATCCTTGAAAATGCTTTTGATTAGCTTTTTGTTGTTGATGATTGAATATTTTGTGTTGCAACAATAACAACAAAATTATGTGATAATAATAATAGTTGTTGTTTCTTTAATTATTATATCCTTTATTATCCATTCCACCACATCAATTCAGTGAAATCCAAATTTGCATGGCATGCCAAGTGTTCCTTTATACTGTTCTAATGAATTTCTTTTCATCTCTATATAAATAAAGAATCGAATGTTTTTTATAAATTGGAGTAGGGAGGGATAGGCAGGCGGTGATATGGTAGCAAAGGTTGATGTGATGACGATGGTGTTATTTGTAGAATATCTTGATAGTAATATCCGCCTTATTATTCCACCGACTGATTATTATTATATAAAAAATTATTGACCCAACTATGGCATCAAGCAAGATTGTTCTGATTATTTTTTCTTTTTGTCAAAAGCGCCTCGCTTCAATAATCTCACGTTGAAGGTTGATATTATAGCTCTTTCTCATCATTATTAAAATTTTATGAAAGAAAATTCGTTTCTTCAAATGTACAAAATACATGATATATATCTCGAAAAGATTGGACAATAAATTTGACAATAATAATAAAAAAGGTATTTTTGATTTTATGAAAAAAAATTTAAAATTTGTAAAGATTGAAATCAAGATTATTTAATGAACTATCATTTGTATAACCTTTTAAGCTTTTTGATTTAGTAATTTCGTCATCTAATATTCTACTTGTATAATATGCTTCTGGATGTGATTTGTGTACTTGTTGCAAATCACCACCATCATTATAAAAATCAATTTTATGCTCATTGCCTTTAAAAAATTTGAATAATCTTTTTATAAGACAATTATTTTTCAAATTTTCAGTTGTATAAACTTCTTTGAATATTTTTTTAGAAAAAAGAAAAAGCTCACTGATAGTTGGCCTTTTTGATGGATCCACATCCCAACACTTTTGCATCATTTGTGCATATTCACCAGGCATTTGAAGTAATACTGGTGGCCGTAAACCTTCATATATATCAAAAATTAAATGATGATTATGAGCTCTATTGTCAAATGGTGGACAGCCTGCAAATATTTCCCACATTAACATTCCAACACTGTAAATATCCGTTTCTTTTGTGCTTTTAGTATTATTTGTGCCTTTAAATAGCTCAGGTGCAACATATGGTACAATTCCATATATTTTATTTGATGACTTTTCATCAACTGGTCCACATAACCCTAAATCTGTAATATAACCAATACCTCCTTCCAATAATATATTACCACTATGTAAATCACAATGGATTAAATCTTTTCCATGTATATCATATAATGCACTACATAACCATCTAAAAATTGTAATTCTATTCTTTAATGTCAAATTGGAATGATTTTTTTGTAAATAATCCCTTAAATTTCCTTCTGGATGATAACTTAAAACTATTGCATAATTTCCATTATTTGGGAACTTAGTTATACCATGACAAGGAACAATCATCAGTGACTTAATTTTACAATAATTTATTGCCTATAATTGAATATAAAATCAATTAGCATTATATAACACAACATTATTTATTTTTGTTTTAAATAAAAATTACTACCAACCTCATCAAAAAAGCCTTTTCCTGGATTACTTGAATTATTTAAACTTTTTAATACTATTTGTTGCCCTCCAAAATAACTAAATTCTTTTTCCTTTTCATTGTAATCAAATATTTTTCCTCTTTTCCATGTAGCAGTGTAAATTGAACTAAATCCACCTTTAGTTAAATTTGTTATATCTTCAAATTGCTCAAAAGGTATCCATTCTAAGATATGTCTTGGCAAGGGTGATTTCATTTGACATTGTTGAATAAAATTGTTAATTATGTTATTTCCAGATGTCCAATTATTAAAAAGATTCTGTAATTGTAAACTAATACAACCTTCACAGAACCTATCAGAACATTTTATTGATTTACACTCATTACATTTTTTTGGTTTACCTGATTTATAAATTGCATTTTCTAATCCAAAATTATAAATAAACTTTTCTTTACAAAATTCTTTTTCATTTTCAGAAAGTTTCTTGTTTTTCTTGACTAATGAAAAAAAATAATCTTTTCTACTTTCTCTATCAGAATTAACCAGAGCATTATTATACATTTCATTACAAATTTTATATACAAATTCCCTTCTTTGTGGTAATAATAGTTTGCTAAATGACATTTTTTAAAAAAATTTATTTTATTTTCTTTGTTTTGGTTTGCGTTTTGGAAAAAAAAAGATAAATGTTTAATAGGAACCGATTTTTGTAACAAATTTATTTAAAAAAAATATTGTAATACATGTAATACATAAATGCATCTTAGTCAGCTTTTAATGAGAATCATTTGTTTGTTTATAATTACATCATGGTCACCAACCGATTAACCAACTTTTCACTACAATTTACCATTGGTGCAGTGACAAGTCTAGATGTTTTTGTAAAAGAATTTATTGATCACAAACAACTTGCCGAATATTTTCCTCTAACAACGAAAAAGAGTTCAAAGAAACCTACAACTTATCAGATTATCGAGCAACACAACATTACCATCATTATCTGATAATGAAATAGGGGTTTCCTGTTTGCAATAATATCGCCCCGTGCGTCACAAACTCAGGTACCAAATACAATTCGAACGCTTTTTTTTTTTCTTTCATTTTATGAAATATAATTTGTAAAAAAAAAAAAGAAAATAACTTTTGCATTTTTACTATGAAAGATAATGATAATTAGCTTCTATACTAATCCAAATTTATCAATACATATCAATACACATGTAAACCTGTTAAGTCGGTCATTTATTTATATTAACAAATATTTTAAACAGTTGATTGTTGCGTCTGATTTATTGAGTTTAATCATTGAGATTATTAAAAAAAACTCCATGAATAAAAGTATACAGCGAGTCTCGGTTTAACGGAACCGTTAAACCGAGAGACCGCAAAAGCGAAACTTATGTTCAAATCACGTGATATAAATTAAAAAAAATTTTTTTTTATTTAATAACGATAATATTAATATCATTATTGGTCCATAAATTCGTCAATTCGACATTGTTTTACTTCTTAGTAATATTAGGTACTTTTACAAAAAAAAATCCTCTTTTAACTTCAATAACATTTTTAATCATTTGAGAATCAACTTGTAAATCTTTTTGTAAGTGCATTTCCCAAATCATTTATAGTTTTTGTACTTGTTACAGTCGGCTTGATTATATTTTCAACATCCTCATTATCTTCAACTTCAGGTTGTTCCAACACAATGCTTACAATTTCTTGTTCTGGTTAATCATAATAAATTCGTCAGCATTATTAATATTAATAATACATTACGTTATCACGCTTATATCCAAAAAGGCAAAGATCATTGTTATCTGCAATATTGAGGAAAATTTGCTATTATTATATTAATATTAATACGGATTTTTAAAAAATATCCGGCAAACCGAATATATTAATATTAATATTATAATTAATATGAATCCGTTAAAGCGAGATAGAAAAATTTGGTTTTTGAAAATTTATCTGTTAAACCCCTAAACCGAGACTCAGTAGAATACATTATACTATCATTAATACACAAAACCAAGCCATTCCCATGAAATAGGACATCTATTCATAATACAATTCTTTGTCCGAATGACTCATAATAATAATACATACACAATCAATGTTAATATTAATATTAATATCAATCAATCTTTAATTCGAATTTATCTGTTCAATTGATTTATTTTAGTATTAGACTAGTACTATTAATATTAAAGTATTAGATCTCAATTTGAAAGGATCAATTTAAAATGACATAACGTCCCACTTTAATTGTAAATCTTTATTCCAGTATGTGAAATGAAGCCACGTTCACATTATCGACTAAATGAAAGAGAATAAAATCATGTTTAGACTAATTATTAATCTCCGCGTAAATTTCTTGACAAATAAAAATATATATATATACTAATACCTGACCGGTTAATTGACCGGTTAAGGGGTTTTGCCGTTCCGATCTCTAGAACTATTGTTTTATTTTGAATCTACATTTTTATTCGGTTGTTCAAATTGCTAGGATCGTCTATCAGTCTCAACGATACTACCGCACATTTATCATCTACCACCATTTAATTACTAGTACTAGATTATTTACTGCTACTATTTTTATTGCTACTAGAAAAAAATCAATCACTTGTATTGATTATCATTACAAGGGAGGGGAGCAATTACTGCAACCATTATTATTATATCGGCTAAAAAAAAATTTTCTGATCTTGACTTTATTGTTATTCGAATTATTTGTAACCATTATTCATATTATTATTATTGTTGTTGTTGTTGTTGTTGTTATTGTTATTGTTATTGTTATTGTTATTATTATTATTATTATTCATTTTATTCAAACAATCATTCAATGTAATTCAAATATCTTGATGACAAAAAGAAGTTGTTAAATTATCTACATACTAATACGTATATCAAATGCATGGTGGAAATTTGATTGATTTTATTGGTGAGTTTTAATTTTAGAAAATCAAGGATTTATATGGAATTCAAGTTTAAATATATGTTGTGCGTGAAAAATGAAATTTGAAATGTTACACTAATTTTTTATATTGTGCAACGTAACTTTACAATACACGGCAATAAAAAGTAAGTGATAAACTAGATTTGAATTGGATCTTGATCTCCAATTTAGAGAAGTAACAACTATACTGGCAAAGTTTCAAGAGCAATGGATTCTGTATAACATTTAGTGTAACAAAAAACTTTCACTATGCTGTGAAAATGAATTTGCAATTCACATAATTCACGTACGTGAAATTCAAATTTCATATCCAATATTTTAATTATAGATTTCAATTTCACATAATTTCGATTTCACATACAACATATACACGAGGTTTATTCCTATATTACCATCTTGTTCTACTCTTTTAACGTGCCATTATTATATTTGATGTCATTACATTAGAAAAAGTTAAATCTTTCAAAGAAATTTGCATAAATGTTCTATTTATGAATTGATTATAAAGTAATAATATTTAATATTAATATTTGTCAGTATATCCATGTCCATTCACCATGTTAAATTGCATATATAACTATCAATAAAACAAATATTGATAGATAGATACGAATAAGACGTCAACATTCCATTCAATAAAAATTACATCTACTCGCAGTCTTTCTTAAATTTGTAATATAAACGATAGCCTTCATTCGTAATAGAGTAAGAAATTACTTATCTGTAAATTAAATTGTATATAAATAGTTTAATAATATTAATAATAGAGTAGGAAATTATGATATAAAAAGTCTTCATTTCCAATAAACCTCATGAATGTTTGATTTGAATTGTATTAAATATTCCAGTAATAGAAAGTAAACTTACACACCCGTAGAATCTCTCTAGGGTATGAAATTGCTGTGTTATATATACTTTGCCTCTAATAAGACTCTGTGGGTATTGAATTTATCTGAACGGCCAAAGTAGTAACTATGGTTTTTTTTCTTATTATACATACGTTTACAAAGTTTATTTGAATATTATTATGTAAATAAATTTTCTTTAATGGGTGAAAATTACTATTTGATTTTCCTCGCTTCTAGTAAAAGTATATGAGTATTGAAGTTATCTAGGTGATCAAAGTTTATGTAAATAATTTTTTTGTCATCATTTCGAGATCGTCACAGAACTTCCATCATGTTTATTTCATACAATTATGATCCTAGACTATATAGCATATAAAAATGATGAAGAGCAATCAACAGCAATGCTGATTAACTATGGAATCAGCGTAATAATGTCACATGCCATATTTGTGATTCACCAAACCATATAATGAATAAACAGCTAATATTAAATTTGTATATATAATAATTACAATTAATATTAATGAAAGAACATAATCAACACCATAATGAACATTTAAATGATCAGTGCATGATAGACAATTGAAAAAATCAAATAACATTACACAATCTAAGGTTTCGACTGTAAATTGATTAAAGTTAATTCTTTAGAGAACGTAACTCAACAAGAAACTCAAGCTCACAAAAGATAATGAATATTTCAAAACCTAAATCTCACGATCGAATAATTCCGAAGCAGAATAACTACAAAAAAAAACTAGAAACATGGATATAGATATCCATAAAGAGCAACTAAATCTCCAAGAAAACATTCAAAAATTAGATAAAGTGGTAGAAACATTTAGTTCTGACTCGTCATCAAAAATAGATGATAATAATTATGAAATGGAGGAATGAATAGATAAGCATTCCAAAATATAATAATAAATAATCAAGAGTTTTGCTAACTTTCTCTCCTGAGATACCACCCAGATTGCATAATCATATTTTTGTTTGGAACTCATTGCGGAATGAATAAGACATAACTCAATTTCACATAGGAAGTTACAAAATAGCATAATCTAAATAGATCTGGGCGATATCTCCTGGAGAGAAAATTAGTCTTACTTACATAACTAATATCTTATAAAAATTGTAATAATTACTTGAATGTACCTTCAACGCGCAGCAGACTTGCAAAAAATTCATAGATAGGGTAAATTTACTTCTGCAGCCGATATTTCAACAATGTGTATAAGTAACTTACTATAGAATTGATGCATGACACATATAAAAATTCCTTGAGTAGGCTTTAGACCGTTTTCAAGAACCTTGTTCAATGGCGAATCTCAATAATTTATTTTTATCATGCTTTCTTATGACAGGGAGACCCATTTACCTCACCACACGTTAACTCGAACTTCTATAAAGAAATCAGATTTCAGCCCACAAGCTCTTTCATCAGAATCTTGCTATTCTTCTTTCTTATTTTGTAATGCCTCACTTGCAACCTTGCTCCTATAGAAGCAGAATACAATAAATAAATGCACGTACTAATTAATATCTCGTTATTTTTGTTTTTTAATATTAAAATATATTCCTCAACAAATATGGAATGGAATCCATATGATGCTCTGATATTCCTTCATTAAATAGTGACAGTTGTTTTTTCTTTTTTACATATTTGCTCGAGTAATGATAAACTTAAATGATTTTTATTAGGTTTTGCTGATTCATGTAATATAAAATTATGATGATAACATTTTAAAACTTTATATATATATTAAAAATAAGTAAATTTATAACTATATTATATGAATATTTATCTAAACATAAACTACATACAGTATAAATTTAATAGGTTATAATTTTTTTTTGTATTAAATAAATTAAATAAACTATTATTATTGCAATATAAACCTCAGCTGGCTAGCCAAACTGGTGGTTTATAATAAATTCTCCAATTCATCAACTAATTCATAATATTTAATCTCAACCTTTTCCTTACTGTTATTACTAAAATCTAATGTTTATTAATTAATTAAACATGAATAAAAGAGATTATTATAATAATTAACAAGTAGTAATGAAAAATTAATTAGTAATAAAAAAGTTAATTCACCTTTGTTTAAGAGAAGTCAGGGTCAACTAACGTACTATCATTGCTCATATAACTTTTTAAGCTTTTTGATTTGGTAATTTCATCATCCAATATTCTACTTGTATGGTATGCTTCTGGGTGTGATTCGTGTGTTTGTTGCAAATTGCTGCCACCACCACCACCATTGCCATCACTGTTGTTGCTGCTGCTACCATCATTATTAAATTCAACTTCATGTTTTTTAACTTTAGAAAACTTGAATAATCTTTTTATTAAACTATTATTTTTCAAGCTTTTATTTGTTAAACTTTTATTTTTAAAAAATTCTCCAAGTTTATTTTCAGCAAATGTCCGAAGCTCATTAATAGTTGGTCTTTTTGATGGATCCACATCCCAACATTTCTGCATCATTTGCACATAATCATCAGGCATTTCAGGTAATATTGGTGGTCGTAAACCTTCACATATATCAAAAATTAAATGATGATTATGGGCTCTATCATCAAATGGTGGATGGCCTGCAAAAATTTCCCACATTAACATCCCAATACTGTAAATATCTGTTTCCTTCGTGTACTTTGTATTATTTGTGCTGCTTAGTAGCTCAGGTGCAATGCGTGATACAATTCCATATATTTTATTTGATGACTTTTCATCAACTGGTCCACATAACCCTAAATCTGTAATAAAACCAATACCTCCTTCTAATAATATATTACCACTGTGTAAATCACAATGAATTAAACCTTTTTCATGTATATCATATAATGCAACACATAACCATTTAAAAATTGCAATTCTATTTTTTAATGTCAAAATAGAATGGTTTTTTTGTAAATAATCCCTTAAATTTCCTTCTAATAAATACATTATAACTATTGCATAATTTCCATTATCTGGGAATTTAGTTATACCATAGCAATTAACAATCATACTTGATTTAATTTTACAATAATTCATTGCCTGTAATTAAATGTAAAATCATTAGTATTATATAATACAGCATATATTTTTGTTTTAAATAAAAATTATTACCAACCTCATCAAAAAAGCTTTTTCCTGGATTACTTGAATTATTTAAACTTTTTAATACTACATATCGACCACCAAAATAACTAAATTCTTTTCCTTCTCATTGTAATCAATTATCTCTCCTCTTGTCCACGTAGCTTTATAAATTGAACTAAATCCACCTTCAGTTAATTTTGTTACTTTTTCAAATTGCTCAAAAGGTATCCATTCTAAAATATGTTGTGGAAAAGATGATTTCATTTGACATTGTTGAATAAAGTTATCAATTATGTCATTACCAGATGTCCAGGTGGTGAAAAGACTCTGTAGTTGTAAACTAATACAACCTTCACAGAATCTATCAGAGTATTTTGTCAATTTACATTTGTTACATTCTTTGGGTTTGCCTTTTTTATAAACTGCATCCTCTAATTCAAAATCATAAATAAACTTTTCTTTACAAAATTCTTTTTCATTTTTAGAAAGCTTCTCATTGTTCTTAACTAATGAAAAAAAATAATCTTTAATACTTTCTCTGTCAGAATTAGCATTAGCATTATTAAGTATTTCATTATGAATTTTATATACAAATTTCACTCTTTCTTCCAATATCAACGATAATGATTTATTATATGACATTTTTAACTTTACTTGATGTCTTTTTAAAAAAATTTTATAAAATTATTTTGGAAAAAGATAAAACCCAATTTTTTCCTTTTTGGACAAATAATAACTTATTATGGAAATGAGTAGTTGCGCCCCCATCTAATGAAAATTAAGGTTGCTGGTGGAACCTATCCTATTCAGATAGTCGACATTGCACCATTCACCAATCGGTTTTGGTGCAACCGTTGCAACTGGTGAAACTATTGCAACTGGTGAAACTGGCGCAACTGATGAAATAAAAATCATACTAAAACATAGAAAAAAAAAAATTCTTTATAAGCACCGAATATTATTGCAATTAACTGACAAGAATATCCCAATGTTAATGGAGTGTACGATGGGGCTCGGTCGCGTTTACTTCGTCGAAAATTATTTCGTCGAAAGTTTGTTTCATCGAATGTTTATTTCGTCGAATGTTCATTTCGTCGAATGTTCGTTTCGTCGAAAATTATTTCATCCTCGAGCCAGAGACTGAACGAGTTAGATGTAAGGAGTGTGGGAAGTTAGTTAAGAAATTAAGTGAAGAAAGCGGAGTGTGTGGGAAGTGTGAGGAGAAATTTGTTTAATGAAGTTTTTTGTGACGAAATTCGACGAAATGAACTTTCGATGAAATGATTGTCGACGAAATGAATCAGACCCCTTTGAATCACAGAGAAAAAAACTGGAAATTTTTTTATTCTAACTTGTTTGGTTATTGAGCCTATACGTTTCAAAGTTTAACAATATTTTTTAACATTTTGGATGATTTTACTAATAAAATTAAAAAAAACTATGTGGACCATTACATTTATAATATCACTTAATTTTATAGTTGTATCTTTTTTTTTGAATGAGAAGATGCAATTTTTATTTTTATAATTGTCGAAAAAAAGTTTATTAGTAAATTTTGTATATGATGTTAATTAGTTTTGATCTATATACATAGTCCATTGTACAACCCACAATGTTAAGCCATAATTAGCCACGTTTGTTAAATAATTGGTCTTGATACCATTAATAAAGAAAAGGAAAATCCAACTATGTGGTGGTTAAGTTAAAAACAATGACCAATTGCAAGGATTAGCCTTACATCTTTATGCAATATCTCCATCTCAAGCAGTTTGTGAACATAACTTCTCTACATTAAAGTGGATTT